GTTTACGATTGGCTTATTTGGTGTCGGTTTGTATGCCAGTCAGATACGTTCCTTTTGGTACGAGTCACTGGTTTCAACATAAAGACAACATACATTTTACGGATGATTAAACGTCGTTATTGAAAACGACGAACAAAGTGACATCGTTTACCGTCGATTACTGGCACGTGACCCTATGAAACTGCACAGTCATTAGTTTAGCATCTACACGATACACTGCATTCCATGATGCTGTCCTATTTTGGTTTTTATGAGTGTCATGTGGCTTTGTTACCTTCCAGATTCGTTTGTTGAATTTGTAATCCACCTTGTATCTGACATACTTTGTAACTCATCTCTTAAACGTACGAGACGAGGGATATGATTCCTGAAATAAACGTGAGAATTCATATTTGAATAATCAATTTTCTTCAAGAATAGAATGTTTAGCCTTATACGAATGCGTATGAATATACACAACACGTTGTTTTCAGGTCTGAGGAACCGCAACATAAATATACATCATTATGCTGGGTTTTCCTGTCCAGGTCTTTACCATCGAACTCGGCTTTTTATCGTCTGCCAAACACATCGAGATCTTACATCCATTCTTTTCACAAGGTAGCTACAGTCGATGAATTATTTAATCATAATTGTTCAATACCAGATTTAAGATGTACTAGGTACTGTACGAGGTACTGAAATGTCATCGAGTTTTCACCTGCTTAAATGCCTCCCACCCAAGGTCAATACGCCGGTAAATCTTGTCTTGGAGGAATCGTTCGTTATATGACATGCTCAGGCGAGCGAACAGTTTAGGATAATAATGTATTCTGTGAGGATTGCTGCAGAGAGAAAATGATACTGAGTTCTTCCATTCAGTTGTAGTTAATCTGCTTTTGTTTTACCTTCCCAAAGTACATTTGTTGACAGATTTGTCTATGGCCAAACGCGTCAGCATCAGTGTATGTCAGATAACATTTAATTCCTCCAACATCCGATTTCATTCCCAGTTGCACTGTGCCGTTGCTGTCTTATACCGTGAGAACTGGTTTTGAAGAAATTATGCGTTATCTTGCATACTCCGACATAGGAACATATGTAACAAAGAATGCCAGCTCGTAAAACATCGTGTGTAATGATCGCCACGTTGCTCTAACGAACAGAACGATGATTGTTGCATCCGGCACCGATGATGCTCAGATACCACGATTGGTTAAATTCGACCCACAAACAAAGGTACGGTGCAATACGCCGTAAAGTCTTGTCTTAGTAAAGTCATAGGTTATCTGTCTCTCAGGGTAAATATCTCTCATATGCCTTAAATATATAAAAAATCGTTTATCTGTCAGTCTGTGTTGCTCCATGCACTACCTTCTACTTCTGGCTACTGTGCTGAATAAGCAAGCCATGGCTGGTATTTAAATACCGCATTCCAGATACATTTGTACCCTTATTAACATACGTCGACCCTAAAAATCGATATTTTCATTTGTTTTGTCATAACATAAACGCCGTACAGACTCTGGAAAAATCGTCGAAATGTTCTAGCTTATTGGGTCATCAAAAATGTACCCGGCTTATCCAAACTAGAAGACGCGACAGATGGTATAGAGCTATGAATCAGGAAGCAACGGTCTAATAACAAATTATCAGCTGACCCAATGAAGAACATCAGGTCTCAAAGCTTACACGCAGTATCTCACCACCTTGTCACCATGAAGAGCGAACCTCTACTCTCTAACAACATTGTGAGACATTGAAGGATCCTGCTGAACGGCAAATTGAAATGTTCGGATCATATTCTCTTGCTATTCTCAGAAATGCGAAGGGGATCGTAGTATTTGTTACGACTGATGGTATTACCGACCTGCTCATCTAGAGAGTAAATGCATTTGTTTGCTTTCGGGTGTCTGATTCCATCCTTTACTCACACCGGCTCCATGATATTCGCTGGTTTACTGTACAAAGGCCTGGCATCGCAGAAGAGAATGATAGAGGTAATGATCTCCCGTATCAGCAGAATCACCGTTGAGGATATAATTGATAGAACCGCAGTAACAATAACAATCAAAGTGGTTTGTCGTTCCCTAACCTCCCATTGCATGCGAAGCATCTCTCTAGGACAATCGCCGTATCCTACCGCACCCTTCCGTTTATTGCGAGGGTTCTTCAACGGTCAGATGAAGA